GTTCGTTTTTTTTTTTTTTTTTTTTTTTTTTTTTTTTTTGGGGGGGGGGGGGCAAAGGAATAGTGTGAAGGCCCACGCCTGGAGCCTGCTTTCTCTTGGAAGTGGAAATCTCACTGCTTAAACCATAAAAGTGTTATCTGTACTTTTCACACCATGACTGAACATGCCAGCTTTTCTGGGACAGTGTCAGTTTTAAATGAACAGCTAAGTCTCATTTTACCATTATACCTCTGTAAGAATTTCTCCTAGACAAAGGAATGAAATAGAAACAAATATTTTGCTTCATCGCTTGTCCTAGTTTTTGATGCCTAATACATGGTCACTCTCCATTTAGCCATGCTGATATTTGCAAAGCCATTATGGAAATGACTTCATTTTTTTGAGGTTTATGCCTCACAGATAAAATGTGCATCCCATATTTCTTATTTCCTTCTGATGCTTGAGGGAGAAAGGCAGCATTGAGCGAAGAGCTGTTTCATTTTCTTGAGAGAACAAGACACCAGGAGTTTGGAGGTACTTCTGAGCTGCAGCAGTCACCGCGCTTAGTCCTGAATTTTTAGCCCTTGGACTCCAGGGTGGGCCTCTTCCCTACGCTGCCCGGTTGGATGAGCTATCACAGCAGAATGACAATTCCATGAGGCATAGAGCCCTGCACACTTACTTTATACTTCGAATTGGGTTTTATTAGTCAGCCCACTCTGTGAGTGCTAGGTTCTGTCAGTGGAGTTATAAAGACATACACCATGCTGGCTCTGTCCTTACAGAGCTTGCAGTGTATTTAGGGAAGCCAGGCATGCATGCATGAAGCAGAAGCTCACTGGACAAGGCAGAGAGAACATGCCATTGGCTTCCCAGGATGCAGAAGCTGATAAGAACTACAGTTGTTCAAGGCCAGTGGGGAGGACCTGGAACTATAGCCAGGATGCAAAGATGTGTGGATCCCAGTAGGAGAAGGGTGAAAGGTTAGGTTAGTTTAACTTACCTGAAATAGGTATTTTAAGGGCTTTCTTTGAAAGACCCCCTTTAAATTATTTTCTTTCCTCTAAAAAAATTCAGCTACCAAATAATGTCCTTTCTATATTGTGAAAAACTATGTTAAGGGAAAAAATGTCAAAACTTGTGTTTTATGATTGCTTGTTGAACAAGGAAAAGCATTTAAGCTCTTGCCACCCCTTGATGGGTTCCATCTCCTCTGTTCCCTGGCTTTGGCCGCTGACATAAGTCTAAACGATTAACTGAAGCCTGGTCAAAACAGGCGGAAACGAGGGTCCAAGCAGAATTAGAGGGTCTGAGCAGAATTATTAGCTCTGGACTGCCTGCGTCTGGACTTCCCTGAGAGAACAGTGGGGAATTCCAGACTTTCCTCGGCTTTAGAACAGGTCTTCTGAGACTCTGAACAGGCTGCCAGGGGAAACTGTTTTTTCAGGTTGGGGGCTTAGGTGGAACATCAGAGAGGAACTGAAGGACAAACTCCGGGGAAGGTGCATAATATGTCCCCCAAATAAACTAAAATGACCTTCATATGCCCTCCAGGGTGGCCCCAGGAAAAATACCCTTCTGTTCCTTCAGCTCTTACCTTGCTTTGCTTCCCAAAGCGTGTCTGACACAGGCGAACCCGCCGTTACACTGTATTTCTCTCTGCCCTCAGGAACATGCACCATTTGGGGGAAGATAAGGCCAGAAAATTGTTGCTATGGACTCTGTTTTGTGGAAGTTAAAATGCTAGAGCAAAAATCTGATTGCTTGATAGCTCCATCCCTCTCTCCCTCA